ATTATTATTTTTTTTTGCAGAACCATGGATTGAACTCAGGCCTGGGCCATCTCCTCAGCCCTGAAGTTTTATTGAGAGGGAAAATTTTTCCCTTAAGACTCACTTTCCACAAACGTTATACAACTTTATTATTTAATTAGTTTTATCCAATACTTTTCTTCTTTCTCATTTTGAAACAACCAGTCATTCTACTTTAAAGCAAAAATTACCTTTTCTCTTAATAACACATCTTCCATATCTCATAGCTTCATTAAAAAAAAACCTGTTACTATCTTTATATAAGCAGTTGTTGATATTCTGGTTTTAACTGCCATATATTAATTTCAATTTTTTAAAAATTATTTATTTTTATTTATTACATTTATTTATTGTGTGTGTGTGGCCAGCTCCGCCCACCAGGGGGCGGGGCTGGCTGGCATGTGGTGCTGGGGGATCGAACCGCGGTCCGTATGCTTTGCCAAGCTTGTTTCAAGTAGGTGCTTTAAGACCACTGAGCCATCTCTCCAGTCCCTTAATTTCAATTTTTATTTCTTAGTAGCCTAGTGAAAATCTAGGAAGTAAGCAATACTGAACCATTGTATATCAGCATTTTGTAGATAAGCACCACTTCATAATTTTTAGGGCCAGCCAAATAGCCCAGTGGATTAAAGCACCTGCAAGCAGGTGCAGGGGCCAGGAGTTCGAATCCTGGGCCTGCTGAGAAGGCAATTGAGACTGGTTGTGGTGTGTGCACCTGTAATCCCAGCTTTTGGGAGGCTGTAAACAGGCAGATCACTACAAGTCGGATCTAGTAGTGAGACTCTGAACACCCTGTAGACCCTTCTCTAAAAATAACATAATTTTTAGAAACATAGTTCCTAAGACAGCTTCTCATACTCATTAACAGATTCAAATATATTTAGCTTATCTATAAGATAAAAATTATTCCAAAGTGCATAACTTTAAATGTACATTTAGCAATTATTTCAGTATTCTAACTTAAAAACAAATACCTATTACTTAATCTGACATGGCCTTAAGATTTTGAACAACTAACAAAGACATTTGAAATTGTGGTAGGTTCATTTATAAACTTTTTTTTTAATTATTTATTTTTATTTATTACATTTATTTATTGTGTGTGGCCAGCTCAGCCCACCAGGGGGCGGGGCTGGCTGGCATGTGGTGCTGGGGGATCGAACCGCGGTCCCTGTGCTTTGCCAAGCTTGTTCCAAGTAGGTGCTTTAGACCACTGAGCCATCTCACCAGCCCTAGCTCAGTTGTTTACGTGCCTGCTTATGTAAACGCAGTCAAGCTCAGGATACTGTGTTCTATTCCCAGATCTTCATGCCTTACCAGACCTGCCCTTAAGGCATCCTGAGCAAGCCAAAAAAAAAAAAAAAAAAAATCCTCCTGAGACAGGTCTTGCAAGGTAGTTCAGACTACCTTCAATTTTATTTATTTATTTATTTTTTTCTTTGTGGAACCGGGGATTGAGCTCAGGGCCTTGCGCTTGCCAGGGAAGTGCTTATTCCACTGAGCCATCTCCCCGGCCCCCTGGCCTTCAATTGACTGTGTAGTTTAGGCTGATTCTGAACTCAAGGCATTCTTCCTGCCTCAGCCTCCTGAGTACTGGGAATACAGAATTACACTAAACAAAATAATATGAATTTTACGGTATTTGTTGTAATGCATAGTGTTGTCTTCAAATTAGTTGTTCATATTACTAGATATATGTGTGAAAAACTGGAAGAAAAAATATTTAAGAAATTAAGAAGAGAATGGGGCTGGTGAGATGGCTCAGTGGTCTAAAGCACCTACTTAGAACAAGCTAGGGGCTGGGGAGATGGCTCAGTGGAATAACTGCTTCGCTGGCAAGTGCAAGGGCCTGAGTTCAATCCCCGGTTCCGCAAAAAACAAAAACAAACAAACAAACAAAAAAACCCAAATTAGAACAAGCTAAGCTAAGCAAAGCACAGGGACCGTGGTTCAATCCCCC